TGTGTGTGTGTGTGTGTGTGTGTGTGTGTGTGTGTGTGTGTGTGTGTGTGTTGAATTTTTTTCACAAGTATTAAATACAAAATCTGCAACCTCAAACAAATAGAACGTAACATGCCCACGCTCAAAAAAATGAGAAACCAACGCTTTTTTTTCTTTATTCCAACCAAAACCGCTTGGGTTGCAAAGTTTCGTCCACAGCGACACAGGAAAGCTTTTTGTTTTGAGAGAAAATATTCGAAGCCTTGAAAACAATGAGTCGTGAACTGCTGAAGATAACAACAGAGGAAGATGAAGTAGATCCATCAATCCCGGCAGGAGGATGAGCAGTCCAGCCACAGCTGCGGGGAGAGACTGTCGCCAGAGACAAAACACAGCTGGGAAAACTTTATCTCATTTGTAGATTTGAAGAAATTACAGGACTGTAACATGGGGGGTGTCACAGCGACACATCTGACTATTAATTTTCTATGTTTTTAAATGATAGGTGCAGAGGACAGTTTAGATACATATGCTGGAGCAGGTTTTTGAGGCCTGGAAACATTTGTACACATTAAAATAAATCACAAAAGCTTAACTCCTGTTTTCAGTAGTCTGGTAACTTTTAGTGCTAAGTAGGTGATTTTTGATCATTTCTTGCAGTATTTCCAACACAGAGCTGAGCAGCTTGGTAAGAGCAGATGAAACAACATTTCTCTGGCATCTTCTTCGTGGTGTTTCTCAGGAGAGAGCTGGATCTTTTATACATAGCTTTAAAAAAATAAAGGTTTCAGCTCTCAAACTGTCTGCACGTCTTCAGATACAGAAGATGGCTGTGGGTTTAAAAAGTTCACAGCATGTGCGGCACTCAGACCACACTGTTTTGTTGTTTCACCTCTTGCCTCGCTGCACGACTGGAGGGCAGCAACAGTGAAGAATAGCAGCTACACAGCTCCGCTCCGTCACTGCAGAGCCTCCTGCCCTGACCACGCTCGAGATGACCTAATTAGCACAAGAGAGCTCTTAAATGGGTCTATGACAAGAGCTCGATCTGGTGTCAAGAAGATAGTTTGGCCCAATCAACTTCCCACAAATGCACATCAACTTTAATGTGTTCTTATAATGCATTAGTGAAAGACGGGCATAATGGTTTGTTTTTAAATTGAGATTCATTTGCCTCAAATTTGCATTTTTTTTTATTTCGTTAAATTGCCAGAAAAAGTGCTAGGCTAATGTGCTAAGAAGTTTCCCTCAAGAGGTCAAATCTGGTGAAATGATTGAACTAATCCCCCAAATGAAACGAAATCTTGAGTACCAAAATAGTTTTGTAGCTTAGCAAGTTAGTAAAAGGCTTGTTATATTAGGGTTTTTGCATAAAAGTCTCAGCAATTTCTTTAAATGTGGCTCCTTTTTTTAACTGTTGGATGTGAATTTATGCATTTCATGCAACTCAAAAATCCTCTGGTCATTCCCACAACAGTAATCTCTGTTTCAAGTAAACTGTTTTGTTTTGCACTTTTCCTGTTTGTCTCTAAACTGCCAAACGGTTGTAGATGAAATGCTTAAAAAAAATGCTCTCCATCATGCTTTAGTGGGGTATATGCACGGACGGTGGTGTCAGACTGCATGATTCGGGAAATTAGGTCAGTTCCCCTTTTGATACACGATTAGCATAGATCACATGAAAGATTTGCTATATTTGTGATGTTACACATTTTTGTGCCAGTTTGAAAAGTTTTTTTTTTTGTTGCTGTTGCAAAACCAAATTCACCACATGATTAGTCAGTATGATGTACTGAATGTGTTTCTATTTAAACATACAGATCACTGACAAAGTGTCTACTCAAAGGTGGGCAGTAATACTGCAAAATTAGCTCATTTAAATTAAGCTAAAAACATTAGACTGTGAAATAATCTGCCAGTGCGGTAAAACAATTACACTTAGGACTTCTTGAAATAAGGCTAATAAGATTAATAATGGAACACATTCTGCTTTTGAATATCAGGCTCAAAACAAAATCAAAAATACTCTTTGGATGGATATACAGTAAGACTGGACAACTTGGTTAGATTAGACAATTTTTTGAATTACATTTACTTGACTATTTGGGGGGGTGGTTTTAGGAGTAGTTTTACTACACCATACTTTCTATTTTTCTTGAGTTTTATATACTGTATATATATATATATATATATATATAGCAAACTGGTTGAGGCAGATGGCCGCCTGGCCTGAGTTTCTGCTGGAGGTTTCTTCCTGTTCAAAGGGAGTTTTTCCTCTCCACTGTCGCCTATGTGCTGCTCAGGATGGGAGACTGTGAAGAAGTGAAGATTGAACGCAATCAGCTTCTTTAGATTTATTTTTTGAGTACAGTGCCCTGAGATGTTTGCCGTGACTTGACGCTATATAAATAAACTGAATTGAATTTTGTTGAATTACAGGTTTTTTTAAATTCATTTTATCAACTTGTCTTCTGAAGATGCTCTTATGGATCTGAGTTCAACTATTTCACCTAGGCTGCATTGTCAAGTACAGATCCAGCAACATTTAATTTCAAAACTGTACTTTTGAGGTTAAATAAATGTTCATAATTAATTTCAATAAATTACGTTTAGAACAGCATGGACATTCTGACTTTTTTGTATTGAAAAAATGTAGAACCATGACCCTGAAGTATTGAACCAAACCGAATTGTGGATTTTCTGTCGTTGCACTCCTAATATTTATTCTGTCAGTATTAGCCTCTTCTGCTGCAATTTTTCATTTTGTAATTTTCTTATTTTTAGTTTTTAAAAACACCAGAACTCGAACTTCCAACTTTTTTGTCCCTCTGAAGACATCATTAAAATATTAAATCAGATGTTATGATCAGTTACC